AAGACCCATTTATTTTTAATACTTTAAGTTCATAATTTGAGCCCAGAAATATTAACATCTAGAAATCCTAAGAATTTGATCGTAGATAATTTCACCCATTCAACTCCATTACTTCCTTAATTTTAATAAAGAATGACAATTCTTCTTTCATACACAAAAAAATACTATTCCTACTAAGAAAAACTCCTGCTGACATAAACTGCACGCACATGGAATACCAAAAACTTGAAAGATTTGGGAGATACAAAGTATTGAACCTCAAGAAAGAACCTTTTTGGTGTGTTTTAGCCTTGAAACCCTCTTTTCAAAGGAAATATGATTCAGAGGCCTACTACATAAAATAGCTCCTAGTACCTAAAATTGTGGTGCGCCTCCTGTAGTGGAACTTAACTGGCACTGGTCTTGCCCACCCACCCTGTAGAAAACCCTGGGCTGTTATTCGGAACCCTTAGAAGTCTTTGCTCCATGACATTATATATGTTGCATTTCCTGAATAAATGATTTAGAACAATTACAGAGCATGGACCCAAAGAGGCATTTGTATTTGTTGGTCATGCAAATTGTCCTTCACCACCAGGCTGCTTTGAATGAGAGTAGATCCCGAAAAGTAGACTAAAGCGATTTTCCAATTTGTAAATTAGGATGACCAGAGAGCAGGGTTAGGGTTGGGGGTTATCCTTCCTGTGACCCAGACTACTCTGAGATTCTCCACGTTTGTGTCACACATTTCCACGTGGCTGTTTGAAGTCGGGCACATCTCTGCTCACGTAGCGGTAGGTCAAAAGTAAAGTTGACGTTTCTGGTTTTACATATTTTACTCTCTGTTGCACCAGATCAAGTGGCTAATGTGCTACCGCTTCCGAGATGTTGGTTTGCTATGTTGGTTCATTCATACTTTATTGAAGGCCAAAAAATAAAATGTGTGGGCAGACTACAAAATTTTATGATTTATTAATATTTTCCTTCTTAAAAACTATGTGATGGCTAAAACCATTGGAGTTTTCTTTCCAATTGAACTGAATAAGATTTGACAAGCACCTATACCATGTGATATTTCCTAATAGTGTGATAAAGGAAATCTGTTTTAAGGATAAAACAGTGATGTTCCTAACCTTTACACTGTATTAGAATTTGTTTTATGATTCAGTAGGATGAGAGTGATAAGATAGACTCTTGTTCTGTTTCTAGAAGTGTCTTTTTTGTGCTAAACTGCGCTTCTAAAAAATTAGTAGGCTGTTGGTATCTATATATTAAATCTTTCTCTGAAGATTCAGCAATCAGAAATGATGATTCCAGGAAATTTTCCAGAACGCCTTCCATTTCTAGTTCTGTATCTGTCTTCGGGGCGAAATTCTCAAAGTGTGGGCCTGGGATGCTGGGTGCTTCCAAGACCCTTTTAAGAGATCCACAACGTCAAAACTATTTTCATAAGCTAGTATTTGCGTTTTCTTCCTTACATTCTTTTGTTGGTGTGTAGTGGAGTTCTCTAGAAGCTATATGACGTGCTCTCACAACAAGTTGAATGCGGAAGCAGATATGAGAATCCAGCTATCTTCTGTAGAGCCAGATGTTAAAGATATATTTGCAAAATTTTAAAGCAGTGTCACTCTTCTTATGAAATTTATTCTTGTTTTGGAATATAATATTTTTCATAAAAATGTTTTACTTATGTTACCATGGATTTATTAATTTTTAATGAATTTGTAGGTAACTATTTTTTAAAACTACCTGTTTTCATTTATATACGGTAAACATCTACGAACGTAACCTACTTGAACAGAAAGTCTTTTGGTCAGCATCAGTAGCTATAACCCACGTAAACAAGCTCTTTTGGGTCCTCGGTAACTTTCCAGAATGCAGAGGGGTCCTGTGGCCCAAATATATGAGAACCGCTGTACTTTTATCCCCTCATTCAGTGTCCTCATATAGGAATTTACTTTGTTGACGCTTACTCAGATATTTACCTGGTAGTCCATGGAAGCTGTGCTTATCATAATTTAAAAATGTGTGTAAAAAGCTTTTGTGGCCAACTAGAACCAGAAGGTGCCCTGTGGGAATCATCGTGTATGCGTGTGTGTGTGTTGGGTACTCATAAATGCAAATTGGTAGTTATTAGAAAGTCTATCATGCTGGGCAAATTGGTATTAGATTCTGTGTCTGATTCCTCACTCAGCAAATCGCAAACATTTATTTTGTTTCCACTAAATGGCCCTTAGTAGGTGTTATAGAGATGGACTAAATGTGATCTCAGCATTCAGGGCAGCAGCTGGTACAGTGCTATACCACAGCTACACCACACTGCACCGACTACACCACAACTGACCACGTGCAAAAATGCATCAGTCAGCAATTTTGGCTGCCACCCTTGTGGTCAAGGAGGAACTTATTTAGAGGAAAAGATATACTAAATAAACAGTCAAGGAAAATATAAGACAATGTGGATTAGAGTTTAGACTAGAAGTTAAATGTCTCCGTATTCAGTATACAGAGAAAACAATGAGTTCAGGTGTTGTTATATTAACTTAATTATCATCCTTAGTACCAGAGCAGCTTCTGGGTTCTCTTTATTTAGTTTCATGGAGTTATACATCCCAGTGAGAAATAATTTATAGATTATTTTGGTAAAAATTTTGACAGTGTAAAAGTAAACCTTTCAATCCGTGATTGTGGTGAGTGTGTGTTTTTATGTGTATGTATAAAATCTCCTTTAATTGTTCTAAGCAGTGTTTTGTGGTTCCTATGTAGCAGTTTAAGTCTTTTATTACATTTATTCCCTAAGTATTTTATATTATTACAGATTCTTTAAACTTAATTTTCCAGTTGTGTGATGCTAATACATAAAAACAGAATTGATTTTTGTATATTGACTTGTATCCTGTGACTTTGCTAAATTATTAGCTGTATTGTTGTTTTGTAAATTCCTTAGGATTTTCTGGTTAGAAAATTATGTCATCTGTGAATATAAACGATTTTACCTCTTCCTTTTTGTTATCTGTGTCTTTAATTTCTTTTTCTCACCTTATCAAACTAGGTAGGAGTTAATGCCGTCTTTGAACTTTCATGAATGAGATCATAAAATATATACTCTTCTGCATTTGCTTATTTCACTCAATGGTATTGTTGTGATGAGGTCTTGATTATTCCTTCTCAGTAGTTTATGGTATTTCAGTGTATAACTATGTTCAGGTTTATCCATTCTATTGTTAATGGGTGTGTGCATTTTCAGTTTAAGGTTATTACAAGTAGTCCTCCTATAAACATTCTAGTACGTGCCTTTTAGTGAACATATATATGAGTTTCTGTTGAGTTTATACCTCAGAGTGGACTTACTGAGTCATAGAATATAAAGTGTGTTCTTCTCTATTTTTTTGTCCTCATGAGTATTTGCCACGTGTTTAATTTTCATATTAAGCCAGAAGTGTGTCGCATTCTTCTCTTCCCTCTGCCTTTTCATCTGCTCACCGGGACTTGGGTCAGAGAACACGTGTAGGCTCTCTGCCTTGTTTACCTCTAAAAGAGGCACGTGACCCCATCTCTCCCTGGCTTCTTCCTGCTTACCTTTTTGCCCCTCTCATAGGGTATAAGCACAGGTCCTGCTCTAGGCTCCCAAAACTTGTATACGCCAAAAGTCTCCTGACTCTAGTTTTCCTCCTTCTAGTCTGTCTTTAGGTGTTTATTCAGAGAGAGAACTGTTCCTACTAAAAAGCTACTACACTTTAACCAAACTAAAATATCGGGTTGGCCAAAAAGTTCGTTCAGGTTTTGTGTTAACATCTTACTGAAAAACCCAAATGAACTTTTTGGCCAACCCAATACATGCCTTCTTGATAGTCTTGGGCATTTCAAAGACACAAGCAGTTAGAAGGGGAGAAATCCTCTCCCTCCTCTGGGATTCAGGTTGCTTCCTCTCTGTTTGCGTGTAGCTGAATCCTGTGTAGAGGGAGGGCTGAGGGATGCAATAGCTTCACACCTCGATAGCAGTAGAGGATTTCAGAGAAAATTCTTGCTCGAACTAAGATTTGAGAATTACTGGAAGAGTTCACTTATCCCTACTTCGTCTCTCAGCTGTTTTAAGAATAATTGAAAAGCTGGCCAAAATGAAGATATCTGTCACTTTACAAAGTAGTCTTAAAATTTTGGTTAATATTAGATTTTTTTGTAAGAGGAATCAGAATTGCAATTATAGAGGACACAAAATGAACCCTGTTGTGAACTAAAGAATACTTAAATAATTTGACTTTCAATTCCATATTTTCATATTTCCTAGACCCTGAAAAATGACATGCAGAATTTTTATTTAGGTTTTGAACTAAGGAGAACCTAAAGTTTGATTGTAATATTACTACTTACCAGTTGGAGGCTCCAAGACTGAATCAGGAAGAAATAGAAAATATGAACAGTCCATATGTTATTTAGCCTCTCTTAGCCTCAGTTTCCACATCTTTGAAATGGGGATAATAAAACCTATTATAGGGCTGTTTTCAGGCTCACATGAGATCAGGTAAAATGCTCAGCCCCATGCCTGTTATGTAGCAAGCCTGCAAAGGATTTTCTATTTTTATTTCGAGAACGGTACAGAGTTACATTTTGTTTGCTTTATTAAATTCAGTTATCAGCACAGGGCAACAAAATAAATAAGAATAACGAAAATATTTATGAGCGAACTTGATACAGAAAGAACAACTGAAATATTTTAGCCATGGAAAATTTATTTACAAATGATATATGTTAATGAACTTAAAGGGAAGCTTTGAGTTGGCATTGAGCATTCGTTTGGCTATTATAAAATCCAAGGCAAAAGAGCTCTTTCATGACACACAGTGAAAACAATGCACTCATGACCAATCACTTCAAATATTTATAGAAAGCTTAGTGGAGGAAGTGAGCTAAACCAAGGAAGGGATTCCTCTGGAGACCTCAGAAGAATGTGTTGAAGCCAGGCCGGTGTACCTCTGCGTTGAGAAGGATGGTCAACTAATCACGTGCTTTTGCTTCTCCAGGGAGAAGTTGGCCGTGGCCCGACTGCAGAGAGAAGTTGCCCAAAGAAGAAGTGAGGGGGCCATGGTAAGTCCCGGCTGGTCTGTCCTGATTCCCAACCTCCCTTCCGAAGTCTCTGGCTTGAAAGGCATTTTTGTCTCGTTAAGAATTTCAAAGGAAAATATTTGCTTGTAGCAAACTGAGTGCTGTATTGGTAAATAATGTGTTTATAGTGCAGTTTAAACAGATCTGCCATTTGCTGAGAGAGAGGGAAATATTAATTGGGAAAAAGAACTCTTTGAGCTTTAAGGAGGATGTTCAGATGTTCAAAGGGTTGTACGGCTTTATTTATCCTGAAGGTCTACTGGATGCCCAGGCTTCCAGCTGTGAGCACAATGTCCGTAAAGGAGCGCTCTCAGATTTTTCAGACAAGGACAGTGCAACTTAATTCAAGCCTCTCAGTTCTTCGAACCTGAAAAATAAACAGCCTAAAAGAACACTCAGCTGTTTGCTAACGTAATTGTCTTTTAGCGTCTTCCTTCTCTCCAAGCTGTTTGCTAACGTAATTGTCTTTTAGCGTCTTCCTTCTCTCCACTCTTTGTGGTGTAATCTCCCTGTCCATTTCAGCGTGTGCCATTTAGGAAACTGATGTTTCCTTGTGTCTTGAATTGTACTAAAAACCAACACGGTTGTTCTGGCCTGTAGCAACTTCATTTTGTAGACTTTCTTTGCCAAAGTATCTGCCTGTGTGCCCCTCTAGTATCAGAGATGGCTGTCGGCGGACCTGGGGAATGGACTTGTGTGGGTTAACTGCTGCTGCTATCTCTGAGAACAAAATATGACATCAGATTTTTTCCAAACGTATAGCAAAACAATGGCACACGTGCAACTTTTCAGCTAATGCTTTTTTGAAAAGAGAAGCCACGCATTTTCAGACCCTGAAAGCTGCTTCCATTTGATTTCATGAGAGTTAATTGACAATTCATCTGCTGAAAAGTGTAAGAAATTTGTAAAATAGGCTGGCCTTGAACTTCTCTCAAGAGGGAAGGCAGAGGGCTGGAACAAGAGGTTGACTGTTGAGTGGATTCTGGAAGGTTCCGTGGCCCTTGAGCTTGCTAAAATACTTGGTGATCATGTTGTTTGCTCTGCTAGTGATCTTAAGGCAAAGAGAATCTTGACTGTTCCAAGAATACGATGAAGCTGCTCGCAAGCATCTTTGAGCAATGACATGGGAATAAGTTGAAGAAAATGAAGGTTTAGTTAAACGGTGAACTGAAAATGTTCAATCTGGTCTTTTACTGCATTGCAAAATGTTGCTGAGCTAGGCCATTCTGTAATGTTTCCATCTTTGTTCAGGCTAGCTAGCTCCTGTTCAACACTTCATCGGCTATGTTCAAAGTGAAGGTGAAGAAGTGACAGCTTTTCTAGGTCTGTTTCTTCATCCTTAAAATGCGGAAGTTGGGATTGTATGATTTGCAGTCCTGCGAATGAGCGTTTGTTCATGTAAAGTTTTGATAATGGGAAGATTTTTCTGGTAATAACTAAATGTTATTTAAGTTCATAAGAACAGGCCCCTAAAGAATGTATCTTTCTGATTCTGACATTGAATGAGCCTGAGTTGAAATCATCTCAGACAGATAACTGTCGAGTTTTTCATAAAACGAAACCCCCTTTTAAAACGTTATAGAAGTTATTGTTCAGTGTAGAAAATACCCAGAAAACACAGGCAAACAAAAAGTGACTCTGGTTGCTCAAAAACCAACTTTGGAAAAGTTACCAGTGTTTTGTTACTCATCTTCAAATAATGTTAATGAAAAATCACATTTATGTATTGACCGATTTAACCAATAAGTTATGGAGCACCTAACCCTAACCCTACCCAGCACTATTCTAGGCATTGGGGAAGCATCAGTGGAAAAAACAGGCAAACATCTGAGAGCTTACATTCTACTCGTTAGGGAGACAGATGTTTGATGGAATTACCGTCAGATGGTGGAGGCAGCTATGAGAAAATAAGATCAGGGTAGGGGAAAGTGGGATGCTAGGGGATCAGTATGAGTGTTCTCGGTAGTAAATCACTGAAGAGTTAGTATTAGAGGGACGTTGAGGAGGAGAGGGAATGAACCATGATGGTAGTTCCAGCGGGGGGTTAGCGTTCCTGGCGGGGAGGTGAGCAAGTTCAAAGGCCTGCATTGCCTGAGGAACAGCATGGAGAAACAGGATGGCTGGAGGGCATGAGGGAGAGGCTGAACAGTAGAAGATAATTCAGAGAAGTGACTGGGGCAGAGGAGTATGTCATCAAGGTCCCCAGAGATCTCTGGCTCATGCTCTGAGTGACAGGATCCACTGGAAGGCTTTTAGTGAGTGCCCTGATGCCATCCGATTTACTACTGTTCATACGACTGTTTCCCCCAATTCCGTAATTGATCACATCTCAATTCTTCAGAGACACCTAAGCCCTGATTTTTATTCATGTCCTTTATTTTGCTTTTTTCTCCCCCTTTCTTGGTATTTTTCCCCCTCTTTCCTTACCTAGTCATCCCCCATCCCGAATTTTCAACTTAATTATATGCTTCAGCTTTTCTGCTCCTAGGATTCATTTATTTCTGAAGGCCTGATTCCTTCAGTATCTGACAGCTCCTAAAATCAGGGAGTTCTATTAAGCCTCTAAATTTAATTCTTGCTGTTATGAGCCCAGAACTTTTGTCACGTTTTTAGCAGAAATGGAAAGCAGTTCATCGCAACCAGATCACCTTATGCTTTTAAAGAATAATATTCACAGTATGCTATGTTTTATCCACATGAAAGGAAAAATGGTATGTATGGAAAACGTTATACAAGTATTTTCAAAATGCTGTATAATTGAAGCAGATAATTATTTTAACAACCATCAGTGAACCTGTTATAATCGAAGTCTTTAATGCAAAACATGGCCTTTTAAAAATTTGACTATGCAATAAATCTTTCTACTTACAAGTTTTTAAGGTAGTACCCAAGGCATCATTTTTGAGAGATTTCTTCTTTTAACACACTGTTTATTTTGGAACAATTTTAGACTTCCATGAAGTCTCACACCTGCATACTCTTTAACCAGTTTTCTAGTGTTAATACTGACGTAACTATGGTGTAATTAAAGAAACTGAGAAATTAACATTGGCACATAACCATTAACTAAGTTCCAGATTATTTTGGAATTTCACCAGTTTTTGCAATAATGTCCCCTTTCTGATTTAGGATTCAGTTCAGGGTACTGCACTGCATGTAGAAAGATTTCTTTTTGCTGGCTGATTGACACATGTGGAAATAAGAAAGAATATGGATTTGGGAATGAGGCAAGTCTGGATTCAAAGTCCGGCTCCATCAGTAGTTAGCTATATGACCGTGGACACATTCCTTTATGGGTTTTTAACAATTCTGTCTGTGCTTTTGTTCTGTTAACTCAGGTCTTTATTTGGGAAAGCTATCTTTGAGTATATTATATGTTTCCTATTTGTTTCTTTGTTCTTCCACGAAATAACTATTGCCATTGTTTTCATACTTACCTTTCAGTATTTTTCACAAACTGCTATAAGATCATGTTTCTCTTTATTCTGGGAGATTGTATTTCAGCTTGTGTTTTCTCTCACTGGCTCAATTTACTGCAAGATCTTTTCTGTCCATAAGACTTTGATGTCATCTTAAACTTTGTTATATGTAAAAAAGGCCCCTTTTACCCCAAGAGTATATTCATTCCCAGTATCTTCTAGAATGCATATAGTTTTTATTTTTCTATATGTAAACCTTTGCATATTCTAGGTGGAATTACATTGGTGTGAGGTAGGGATCAAAATGAGTGTTTGCCCAAATTAACTGTTCAATAAATGATGTTGGGAAATTAACTAGTATCTAACCTTTACTGTCGCATTTACCATCTTCCAAATTCAATCCCTATCAATACGCCTCAATTACTGGATGGCTTATTCTTTTCTACTAACCTTATTTAGTCTATTCTTACGATAGCCTAAATTGTTTTAATTACTAGAAATTTGTCTATTTAATGTTTTATAGGCTGAATTCTTTCTGATTATTCTTTTTTATCCAAACTTAAAAAGATAATTTTATTTATTGAATAGCAATCAGGGTTCATGAGTTAAAAATATGTATTTGGATTTTTAAAAAAAGTATTTTTATATGTATTTATGACACAGGAGTACCTCAGAGACTGTTTCAAAATGACATGAAAAATGGCTTAATATGTTTATTTTTTTTACATTTATATTAAATTTTTTTTAAAGAATGTCACTTCTACCGCTGTGAGTTTGTCTTTGTTTTTTATCAGTATCTCAAGAACACTAATAGTCTACCAAACATAATTTTTTATTTATTTATTTTTTAATTTACTTTTGCTGTGTTGGGTCTTCGTTTCTGTGCGAGGGCTTTCTCTAGTTGTGGCAAGTGGGGGCCGCTCTTCATCGCGGTGCGCGGGCCTCTCACTGTTGTGGCCTCTCTCGTTGCGGAGCACAGGCTCCAGATGCGCAGGCTCAGTAATTGTGGCTCACGGGCCCAGCCGCTCCACGGCATGTGGGATCCTCCCAGACCAGGGCTCGAACCCGTGTCCCCTGCATTGGCAGGCAGATTCTCAACCGCTGCGCCACCAGGGAAGCCCAACATAATTTTTTAAATGTTTGGTTTAGTTATGCAAAGTTAGCAACACTGTATGGTTCCTTTTCATCCCATTCTGTCTGGGGAAAAGAAAAATATCCATTTTTGATTAGTCATCTCAAGACACTAAGGAAGCATAGTATCCCCATTTAACCTGTTGGAGGATTCCCTTTTTTCCTACAGCTGGATATTCAGACACTGGCTGGGTGTTACCATCCTGTACCATCAGCTAAATTCAAAACCATATCCTCTTGTCTTTTTGCACAAGAACATCCAAGGGGTAACTGTCAAAGATTAGAATATTTGACAGTTGTATCAGGAATTTGAGAAAAAGCAGAGAAGAGTTGGAGGAAGTAGGGAGATCAGAATCCTTGGACACTCTGTGACTTCCTTGCTGGAGGATGGGGCAAACTTAGGTCAGCAGAATCCCTCGCCAGATCTTATTC